GATACTTGATGCTGCTTTAGGCTATATAGATGCTAAGAGCAGAACTGAGATTCAAGCCCATGTCACTAGACCCCCAGCTGTTCTTATTCACTTCATATTCACTGCTACCCCCAGGAGAGCCCCATGCTACCTAATAGGGTACGGCCTCCAGTCTCTTACCTGTGGTTTTCCTAGAAGCCTTTCCTTCCTCAAGCCCAGGTAGGAAATGCTGATTGAATCTCAGCAGAGCAGAAAGGCAGCTGCTGCACATATGTTGTAGCATAAGGAACTATGGAAGTGTTGTCTGTATTTCATATCCTTGTTCAAATCTCCGCTGTCCCATTCACCTGCCACCATGAGGAGCACGACTTTCTTTTCAAGGGGATAATCTGATTGCTACTTTTGCATCAGAAATCTAAGAGGTTCATATATCCTGCCTGGATGGGAGCATTTTTCAGCCCCAAAGCCTATAAAAATATTGTGGCATGAACAGTACAGCTGAAACAACAGAATGCTAGGAAAATGAGTCTACAAAATGTTCTTGAAATATTAGTCATCAAGATGGTATAAAGCGTCCTTTCTCCACAGAAGAAGGCCTGTGCCTGAGCAGTAAGTACACTTTCATCTGCAGGGCCAGGTGGAGAGTGCTGGTTTATATGCCTCAAATTCTTAACTACCTAAATTTGCTGTGAAGATTAAGGAGCAGGAAATACCTCCTGTTTTTCTGTGCTCCCTGATATTCTCCCAGAGGTGACAGAAAACACAAGTCTACTCATACTATACAGATATTTTACTACAGATATAGAATTTGTATATAAATTAATTTCATATACATTTTAAGAAAATGTATATAGTATATTTTTGCTTATAATCTAGTGACACAAAAATTTGTTTTGAGTTTGTGTGTGTGCATGTGCTTGTGAGAATACATGTGTGAGAGTGAGAGGCGCATTCATGGGTGCCTGTGGAGGTCAGAGTTCAATATAGGTGTCAATCCTCAGGTTCTCTCTGCCCTTTTTCCTGACAGAATTTTTTCCTGGCCTGGAATTTGCCAGCAATGTTATGCTGGCTGGCCAGTTCTCCCAGCACTAAGATTACAAGTGTTACGTTTGCAAAGCCCCAGGGTTGGCTTCTTCTGGGGAAGCGAGAGGGTTGTGGGCATTGTGCTTGTGCGGCAATCACTTTCCTGACAGAGCTATCCTCCAATACCAACAGTTTGTTTTGAAAACAACCAGGGAACAAAAAGTTTTTCATTTTTGTTCTTTAGTAAAGTCATAAAAACTAAAACTGTAGATAAAAGGAGAAACAGAAATGTTTAGAAACTAATTAATGGCATCAAGTTGGTGTCATGTAGAGAGGAGATTTGTGGGTACAGAATTCAGCTTCTATTTAAAATGATTGAAAGTATTTGGGAACAAAGAAAATCTCTTGAGAAGTTTGGAGAATTCAGCCCAAATTGCCCAATATCTTTATTTTTAGGAAGGCTGACCATCCTTATCTGTTTAGGAGATAGTTTTGGAGAGATTTCAGTTTTTTTAAAAATGTGTGCGAATTAAAGGACCCATTTACTCTGATTACCAGGCAGGCACACTAGAGTGCTGGGAGGATTTAGTGCACGGTTTGGCTCCCAGCAGTGACCAAGGGGCCAAGTCAGCCAATATCTACAGCATGGTTTCAGATTTTTAAAATAATCGATTCAGAAAGTTTGAGTGAGTTGACATTGTTGGGTTTTCTAGAGCGTTTTAAACACTGGGATTGATACTCTGCTTTAATTAGCAGCTTCATTGATTCTGCACTGCTCTGCGTCTTTTGCTTTGGGGGGTACACACCTCATTTCAGTAAACAGCTCTTTCACAGGTCACCTGCTACACAGCACTGGTTCTCAGATGCCGGCTGGTTGGCTGTTTGTCAGTGTGCCAGCATTCGGTGACTGCTGGTAATGGATTTTCATGTTTGTTTTATGAAGAGTTTCATGCAAATACCGTAAGATGTCTGGCAGCTTGTAAGTGAGCACCACTCAGTGCATGATGTGAATCACAGAGCACCAGGCTGGAGCAAGGTACCAGCAACCTGTCCAGGGTGGCGGCTGAAATTCCGGGAGGGCTGGGATGCCTGGCTGAGCAAGAAGCTGTCCTGTGTTACCAAAGGCAGGGCCCGCTCTCGGAGATGTACTGGTCATACGAGGTGGGTAGTATTATAGTTCTTGGCTAAAGCCTGCTGAAGTGGCAGTGTGCAGTATGTTCGCATAGGGATCCCAGAAATACTGAAGCCCAAATCATACCCACCTCCTTAGATTTCAGCCTGTTGATTTTTGTTTATCGGCTAAAACCCCATTCTCCTCTGGTACTTAAGTACCTAAACCTAGTCGAATAAGAGGCTCGGGAGGCGGCTATGGTGCATGCTTTGCTGCTTACCTGGTCAAGAGATGGCCAGCTGCCTCCTGGGAACCTTGGGGAAGAGGAGAGTGAGTCCCAGAGTTGGCAGATTGGCCCCATCAAGCAGTAACAAACCAAAGCACAAGGAACCCCGCTTTTTCTCCCTGCTGTAACGATGGAGCAGAGGGACATAGAGAGGAGCGGCACGGCACGCAGGAGATACCTCATGGAGTGTGACAAATGAAAAATTTTAAAACGACATTTACTTTTACAAGTCAGACATTTAAGTGGGTCCTTTTTATGGAGGATTTTCAATTTTTATGTCACCTAAGAGACTTTTGCATTTCTTATAATTCTTCTGCACATTAAAGATGAATTATAGTCTCATCCATTTTCAAAAAGAATTTTGGAAGAATTTTTTAAAGCAGACAAAGGCCACGTGTGCCCTGAGATACTCCAGTAATTTGAATGCTTCTCTCCTTGACTGACAGACTAGTTCTGGTGAGAGAGGAAAAGATATAATGAGTCTGAATCTTAGCATGAATCTAGTATTTGGGGCCATTCAGAACTAATTTTACTCCTTTCCCCACTGCTTAATGGGTTTCTCAATATTTGTTTGGGAAAAATCATGTGGTCACAAATAGGAAACAGTGGCAAGCCAGCATTCCCAGCCAGAGTGGCTGGGCACTTATGTGATAAACAGGATGGTATCTACTAGCAGCGCGCCTGCGCTGTTTTGCACCAGGCATGAGATGGACTTTGCTTGACTCCACTTGCTAAAGTTTGTCAGCAGTTCTGGGACTGCTTTGTCATTTTGACTTCTCACATATTAGGGTTCCTGAAGCATTAAAGAAGTTGCCCAAGGTATAGCGCTATGAAATCAGGCCTGGCGGTTGGGAGCGCTGCCTGGAGATCTCGATCTGCTTCACTGCTCTTGGGCTGGCTTTTGGCCTTCTTTTTGGTTTCTGTTATATTGGCCATGACTCACCTCAGCAGATTCTTTAAAGTATGCTAACTAGTCTTTGGAGGACAGAATCCAGGCTTCATTTTATATCCAGTAGGTACTAATTTCATATTTGCTGGATGAATGAACTGAATTTAATGGTTAGGCTTCTGATTTTGCAAGTTAGGGAAGAATTTGAGAGAACCCATATTTCCTGCAATGCAGCCATAACGGAGACCAAATTGTTCTTCTTTTACTAGTAGGAGGACATCAGATCCCAGAATTTGGTCACCGTGTATCTGGTTTGTGACACTGGACAGTAAAGAGAAAAGGCTTTTTCCAGATCCATCTGGATTGGGAAGTGTTCCTGTGATGAGCATCACCTGCAACCCTGCAGACTGTTCAGTTTCACAATGTTCACATCAGTACTGACAGCAGTCCTAGGATTTGCCCTGTCTCCAACACTGTGCGACATCTTGCTTGTTCACCAACCCTTTGGAAGCATGAGGAAAATGAAAACCTTGACCGCTATAGACAGACACTGTCTTTCCTTAGAGAGGAAAACTTTCATAGGCAAGAGGAAGATTGTAAATCATATGATCTTTATGAATGGGGAAGTGAATTTGTGGAATTTGAGTTAGAGTTCACTTTCCATGTATCTCCCAATACACTTCAGATATGTCATAAAACAGTTTGACCATAGACTGCCTATATCTATTTCTGTATCTGTATCTATATTTACATGAATTGAGGCAGTGTCTTACTATGTAGCCCTGACTGGCCTGGAGCTGGGTATGTAGACAACGTTGGCTTCAAATTCAGTGTTTAATCTGCCTTTGTCTCTTCAGTGCTGGGGCTAGTGGTGTGCACCACCATATGCTGGGGCTAGTGGTGTGCACCATCATATGTTGCTGATCACATGTATCTAAAGAAGTGAAAAAGCAAGTATGATGTAACTTACACTATTTTTCTAGAATAAACACAGAACTTGGGTTCTCTTATCCACAGTTTTCCCCAGGCATTGATCAGGTGCTAGTAAATGCCCTCTGAGTGAGGGCAACTGAGGGAAGCTGGCAAGTTGATATTATACACCATGAGCTCCTTCTAGATCCCATGAGCCTTACTGTTGATGATCAGTGTTAGTGATTTTGAGAGTAAGAATGGCCAGCATGGGCTCATAGATTCGAATGTTTCGTCACCAGGGAACATGACTGTTTGGAATGATGAGGAGGTATGGCCCTATGGGAGGAAGTGTGTCCCTGAGGGTTCCATGTCAGGCCTAAGAGTTCTTTCTCCCGACTGCCTCCAGATCCAGTGGAAAACTCAGCCACTGCTTCAGTACCATGCTGCCATGCTTTCCTCTCCGTCACGGTAGATAATGAATTAAACTTCTGAAACCCCAAGCAAGTCCCGTTAAATAATTCATTTTATAACATCTACAATAAAATTTAAAATAAATTGGATGTACAAATAAAATATTTTTAAGTGGAATGAGTGTTTCATTTAATACTTTGGATCTTTAAATTTTATTTTTGGTATAAATCTCGATTTATTAATTCAAATTTAAGGTCAATCTTGTTATATGTTATATTTCTGCTTTTGATTAAGGCATTGTGGTTGTGTAGTTCATTTAAAAATGTAATGTATAGAAGGCAGCTTCCAAGGTCTCCCAGGGTCTGAGAGTCACTGATACCACAAGCACTATGGGGCCCTGGGGGGAGCCAGAGCTCCTGGTGTGGTGCCCAGAAGCAATAGCTTCAGAACCCTCAGTGCCGGTAGGGCTGGAGGCGAAACTGGGGGCCCTGGTACTGCTGCTGCTGCTGACCCTAGTTTGCAGCCTGGTGCTTGTCTGCGAGCTTCGAAGGTCAGGGGCTAGCCATGAATCCTCGGCCTTGGGCCAGAAAGCCCTAAGTCTAGTGAGCTGCTTTCCAGGAGGTGTCTTTTTGGCTACTTGTCTTCTGGACCTTCTGCCCTACTACCTAGCTGCCATACATGAGGCCTTGGCGGCCCTGCATGTGATGCTTCAATTCCCCTTGCAAGAGTTCATCCTGGCAATAGGTTTCTTCCTGGTCTTGGTGATGGAGCAGATCACACTGGCTTACAAGGAGCAGTCCAGTCCACCACATCCAGAAGAGACGAAGGCTCTGCTGGGAGCAGTGAATGGAGGGCCTCAACACTGGCATGATGGACCAGGGCGCCCCCAGGCCAGCGGAACTCCAGCAGTGCCCTCAGCCCTGTGTGCCTGTGTACTGGTCTTCTCTCTAGCCTTGCACTCTGTGTTTGAGGGCTTGGCTGTGGGCTTACAGCGAGACAGAGCTCGGGCAATGGAGCTGTGCCTAGCTCTGCTGCTCCACAAGGGGATCCTGGCAGTCAGCCTGTCCCTGAGGCTGCTCCAGAGCCACCTTCGGGTACAGGTGGTGGCTGGCTGTGGGATCCTCTTCTCATGTATGACACCTCTGGGTATCGGGCTCGGGGCAGCTCTGTCAGTCAGCTGGGCCGCTGCACCAGTTGGCCCAATCTGTGCTGGAGGGAATGGCAGCTGGCACCTTCCTCTATATCACCTTCCTGGAAATTCTACCCCAAGAGCTGGCCACTTCTGAGCAGCGGATTCTCAAGGTCATCCTGCTCCTAGCAGGCTTCGCCCGGCTCACTGGCCTGCTCTTTATCCAGATCTAAGGTGCTCAGATAGAAAGGGCAGGGGATGCTGACTGTCAGGTGCCCCTGTCTTCCCTGTCCTTCCCAGTTTGTGGGAGGTAGAGAAGAAGTAGCGAGGACCAAAGAGTTCTCTGAGAGGTAGGGATGGGACATTTGGATTACGAATAATGAGAGGGAAAGGGGCAGGTAAGAGGCTAGCCGCAGGCCCGAAGGACAAGAACTAGCCAAGCCACTAGAGATACAATCAGGTGACATTAAGAATGAGCACACTGCTACAATCAGAGGTCAGACATTACACCTGGAGACAAGCTGACACAACTGCAGATAGGCATCCCATGGCTTTGGGTAAGTCAAAGTCCTGTTGGTTCCTGCCCATTTCAGCACCGCCAGTGGAAGTGCTCCCTCCCACTTTCTTCCTCCTACTCTTCCGTATGTCCTTTCTACCGAGGGACTAGTGCCAAATGGTCTCTTCCAGTTTTCGTAATCTATCTGGCTTTGAATGTCCTGCTCACTCTTTTTTTTTTTTTTTTTTTTTTTTTTTTTTTTTTTTTTTTTTTTTTTTTTTTTTTTTTTTTTTTTTTTTGAGACATGGTTCCTCTCTATCCCTGACTGTCCTGACACTTATTCTGTAGACCAGACTGGCCTCTAACTCAGATCCACCTGCCTCTGCCTACCGAGTGCTGGGTTTAAAGGGGTGTGCTACCACACCCAGCTCATGCCTGTATTTTTAAAGTGCCAAACACCCACCTGCCCCCGTTTTTAGTTTCTTCGAAACAGGGTTTCTCTGTATAACCCTGGCTAGCTAATGTCCTGGACCTAGCTTTGAGGACCAAGCTGACCTTGAACTCAGAGATCCACCTGCCTCTGCTTCCTGAGCAGTAGGATTAAAGGTGTATGCTACCATGCGTGGCGTATTTGCTCCTTTTCTGAAAGCACAGTGGTGTGGCACACCCAGCACCTCAGTGGAGAAGACCTACTTTCTCTGAATTTGGGCCCCACAATTTGGGTGGAACAGAATTGTTTCCTGAACTGGTCAGGAGTGAAGGGAAATGAGGTACTTTTGACACCAACCACTACAGAAAGTGGAATGGTGCCCTATATAAAAACATTGACCTGCCAAAACTTTTTATATCTGGGGGGGGGCAGAAGCCCCCAGGATTATTTTTGGGGCAGGGAGGGCTGTGCATAGGGCCGTATTCTGTAGAATCTATTTTATTAACTGACCTGTTTTGGGACGTGTTGCCCAAATAAAAGATGTTTCTATAAAAAAAATGTAATGTATAATTAGGAAATACAGGTTGTTAATGAATAATCATCGATAATAGTCAAGCTTGTAGTCGTATTAGTTAGATTGTCTAGATATATAGAGATATATTTCAGTAAGATAGGCATTCTTCATATCTTTCAAAGACTACAGAATATGGCATTTAAAATGTTTTAATAACTTAGGGCTTTTCATGACAATGAGACACGACTGCTCCTGGCAGCACAAATCTACTTCAAGAGGAAGATGGACATCGAAAAGGTTCCTTATGGAGTTGGTTAGCCATTTGGGCAAGAAACTGCTCTTGCCTGGACTGTTGCATAAACTGGACATGAAGAACCTGCAGAGAGATGCCTGCTGAACTTGCCTTCGGGATTCCTGATTCATAAGAGTCTGCAAGACATTCTGCAGGATATAGAAGAAAATGACTATATCCAATTTTGTCTTTGAAATTTCCTGCTTCATAGAAAAGCCTGCTGGTTATGATGGGCTTGAAGGCCAAAGATGGATGGCCCACTGGTACAAAAAAACTTTGGGTGACTGTCCGGGCAGAGAGATGTCTCTGTCAATTCTAGAGTTTTGAAAGTTGCTTACTTCTTGTTTACTTAGGTAATATTATATCCTTCTGGAGTCTTTGATGGAGTTGAAGAATAGATAGATAATTATAGTTTTCCTTTGTTATAATAAAAGATAAAATAGATATAAATATTGTAACTGTAATTCTTGCTTGATACCTGTTATATGTAATTTTACTATGTTAAAGCCTTCCTTTTTGTTTAAACACAAAAGGGGAAATGGTATAGGAGGTCCTTCTGTATTTTTGTTTCTTTCATTGGTTATTAAAGAAACTGCCTTGGCCTAGTTGATAGAGTGAAACTCAGGTAGGTGGGAAAACAGAACAGAATTCTGGGAAGAAGGGCAGTGTGGCAGACACCATGAATCTCCTGCCTGAGACAGACAGGTTAGAATCTTGCCGGTAAACCACAATCACATGGTGATACACAGATTTAATAAAATTGGTTAATCAAGATGTGAGAGTTAGCCAATAAGAGGCTCAAGCTAATGGGCAGTGATTTAATTAATATAATTTCTGTGTAATTATTTCAGGTGTAAGCTAGTGGGGCAGCTGGGACCAAAAACAAGCCCTCTCTCCCTACAAGCAATTCTTTCTTAGTAGTGTCTTTATATGGTTTGGGCATCAGAGTAACTATAGTCTCATAAAAAGAGTTTGACAATGACCCTTCTGTTTCTATTGTGTAGAACAATTTGAGGAGTATCGATATTAGTTCTTTGAAAATCTTGTATATCTTGGCACTGAAACCATCTGGCTTTATTTTGTTGGGAGACTTTTGATGGCTATTTCTATTTCCTTAGCAGGTATAGATCTACTTAATTTGCGTATCTTGTCTTTATTTAATTTTGGTGAGTGATATTTACCCAGAAAATTGTCATCTCCTTTAAGCTTTCCTATTTTGTTGAGAACAGGATTTTTAAGTATGAACAGATGATTCTCTGGATTCTCTCTATCTGTTGTTAGGTATGAAGAGATGATTCTCTGGATTCTCTCTATCTGTTGTTAAGTATGAACAGATGACTCTCTGGATTCTCTCTATCTGTTGTTATGTACCTCCTTTTCATGTCTGATTTTGTTAATTTGGAAATTCTCTCTCTGACCTTTGGTTAGTTTGGATAAAGGTTTGTCTATTTTGTTAATTTTCTCCCAGAACCAATTCTTTGTCTCATTGATTCTTTGCATTGTTTTATTTCTATTTCATTGACTTCAGCTCTCAATTTGGTTATTGCCTTTCTAGTCCTCCTAAGTGAGTTTGCTTCTTTTTGTTCTAGAGCTTTCAGGTGTTCTGCTAACTTGCTAGTGTGTGATTTTTCCAGCTTCTTTATGTAGACATTTAATGCTCACTCATGAAGGAGTGTTAAATTTTGTTGAATACTTTTTCAGCATGAAATGAGATAATCATGAGGTTTTTTTTTTGGTTCCTTTATATAGTGGATTACATTGACAGATTTATTTTTTATGTTGAACCATCCCTGCATCTCTGGAATAGAGACTACTGGGTCATAGTGGATGATTTTTCTGATGTGTTCTTGTATTTAGTTTGCCAGTATTTTATTGAATATTTTTTTATTGAATATTTTTTGCATCAATGTTCATGAGTGAAATTGACAATAGCTTAATTAACCTTTTGCATAGAGAATTGGCATTTTCAAAAGTCAGAGATTCAATTATTATTTGTCTAGCTTCTGAATTTGGTATCATTATATTGACTGTTAAAGTCAATCTTTTTTTAAAAAATATTTATTTATTTATTATGGATACAATATTCTGTCTGTCTGTATGCCTGCAGGCTAGAAGAGGACACCAGACCTCATTACAGATGGTTGTGAGCCACCATGTGGTTGCTGGGAATCGAACTTGGATCCTTTGGAATAGCAGGCAATGCTCTTAACTGCTACGCCATCTCTTCAGCCTTCTGAAGTCAATCTTTGTAAGAAATGAAAAGTGGGGCATAACAACAGATACAGAGAAAATCCAGAGAATCATCAGTAAGAAATCTGTAAAGACTTCCTTTGGGCCCTGTATGACTTTAGTACATGACTCAATTTCCTTTTCTATTTCTCCAATTCTGTCCTAAACATTCAAATCTGCTGCATGGCACACATCCAGTGTGTGGTCATTATATATGGCTTGCCTTTCTATAGCAGCACAATCTCCTTCTCCAACAATTTGATCTTGGGAGATTTCCCTACCTCTGGCTTTATTCCATTGTTCAATAATCTTAGCCTCTTCTTTGAACCAGGTTCTCCATCACAATTGTGGACCAGGCTCTACAACACCTTTAACCAATTCTATTCAGTCTTTAGGGATAATTTTATTCTAAACTAACCACAAGTTTAACATTTGCTTCACAAAAGGTGAGTGCATGCCATATGAGACTATTGCTTCCTTGAATCTCCTTAAATATAACATTGGCACAGGGGTTCAGTTAGCTGTAACAGAGCCTCTGCCATTTGGCAATTGCTGTAAGGTTACTGGATATATCAAGGTTGGTTGTTTGAAAACCTTAGGCTGTTCCTTTCTATTCTTATAATGCAATGCTGAAATTTTCTCCATTAAATTCTTCTGCCTGGATTTGAATCTGTGATTTGTTTTATTAGGTTTTTCTAAGGCCTGTATGTTAGCACTCAGATTAACCAACTTTTTTAGTGACCAAGACAAAAAAATGATAAAACCGCCAATGTTTACAATTGATAGTGCATAAATCCCATCTAAATTAGATATCCTCTCATTTCATTCCATTTTAAAACTATACAGAGACCCAAATACCTTTATTGTAATGCTCTTTTCCCATTTTTTAATGTGCAAAAAAATCTCTCTCTAACTAATTTCTCCCTTTAAGCATTCCCAATTATCTTACCAAGCCTACTGACAATGTTGATGAAGCTGTGAGGCTTATTGTTGCTGCATAGAACAGTAAAAGCCTGACTGGATTTCAAGGTAGTTACCTAGTTTGGCAGCAGCCCAAGAAGGAGGCTCAGGGACCTTGTGCAAACCATGGTGGAGAGAATGGATTATAACAAAGGTTTATTTATTTGGGGGATAAACTCACAGTAAAGGTCCACAATCCTCTGTGTGTGCTAGGAACTGGAATGAAATCCAGCAGCCCTGCATATTTTCCCATGAGACCACATCCAAAGTGGGCCAGGAAAGGAGAACCAGTCAGTCTAGAGTGGGTGAGTCCTGTGGTGTTTGGAGTCCACATGCTTCTGGAGTATGGGTGGTATCTGGAAACTGTTTCAGAGAGGCTACCACAAGAAAATCCCAAACTTGCTCATAGGCTAGGCTTGTGGGAAAAAAGAAAAGAAAGCATAGCTGAGTCGGGCTTCAGCCCCATGTACAGCTCCTGTGCTAGTACTAAAAGCAAATGAGTTTTTTCATGAATCCATACCCCAAACATTGGGCACCAATTGTAGCACAAATAATAAAAACCCAGAGTCAGATATTGGGGTTCAACCTGAATATCAGAAAAGCAAAGCATCCAAGTCACTAGAGAGCTCTTACCACTATGAAATCCTCCGGCTGAAAGAGAATGAATTCCTGTCTCATCCTGCCTAATATTCCTCTCTAGTGCTGGGATTAAGGCCTGCACCACCACCGCAGGGCCTCTATGGCTGACTAGTGTGGCTGCTGGGATTAAATGTGTGTGCCACCACTG